AGCCACTTTGTTCAGCTTTCATTCTCAAAAAGAGCTATATAGCTCAGTAGGCCTTGGTAAAATTAAAAATAGTGTATCTTTTAGTTTATAAATGTGACCACATCTCAAGACACTGTACAGAAAGAGTGGGCAGCTAGCCATAGGCAGAGGAACATAGGAAGGACTCAGCCTTTCTTCTTCCTCTTCTTTTTCCTCCTCTTCTTCCTCCTCTTCTCCCTCTTCTCCCTCCTCTTCTTCCTTCTCTTCTTCTTCCTCCTCCCCACTCCCCCTCCCTTCCTCCCCCCTCCCTTCCTCCCTCTTCATTCCTCCCTTATTCCTCCCTCCTCCCTTATTCCTCCTCCATTCATCCTCCTTCCTCCTCCCTCCTCCTACCTCCTCCCTCATCCCTCCTCCTCTCCCCCCCCTCCTCCCCCCTCTTACCCCCTTCTCTCTCTTCCTCCCCCCTCCTCCCTCATCCTCCCCCTCCTCCCTCCTACTCCCTCCTACTCCCTCCTCTTTTCGCATGATGAGTCACAGAGATTAGCAACTGATTTTTGGAAACGGCAACAAATATGATAAATTACGAGGCTCTTTATCCATTCAGTAGCACTGTGTATGAGCTGATAAATGGATTTGGGCCCCGCCCTCCGATAGTCTGGATGGGGCGGTGAGCAGCTGACCACGTGTTCCGTTGTTTGTTCCCCTCTAGAGTCGCACGTTGAACCGTCTTTTATCTGCTTGCGTCGGAGGTGGGCGCATCGGCCGTGCAATGTTCGAATGCGATTCACTGTGGTCCACAGTTTTGCGGGGGAAGCGAGAAGCCAGGAAGGGTATCGCTTGGGTCATTGATGTGGCCATTGTCGGTGCCTCTGTGGATGTGTAGGCTTTGACTTTAACATAGCTATTTCTATGACCAGTCACAAGGTAATCACTCAGTTATTTCAATGCTAAATTCTCCTGTTTGATTTGTACTAGGTGCCTCTGTGAATGTGTAGGCTTTGACTTTAACATAGCCATTTCTGTGACCAGTCACAAGCTAATCACGCAGCTATTGCAATGCTAAATTACCCGAACCAAACATTAAACTAATTTTCAATGGTACAGTATATTTTTTCAAGTAGTGGTATCCCAAACTTTCGCAGCAGCTTAAATTCCCTTTTCACACCATCAATATGTAAACTCCCCCTCCCCCCCTCGCCGGTCTGCACATGTTCACCCCCTCTATACCGTTCATCATGCTAAGTCCGCCAATTAAAAGCAAATTTTTATGCTAATTCCTTTGTCAAGGCGCTCTGTTTCTTCTCACACAGCTTAAAGGTCGCGGTCTGAGCTTGGCTGTGTTCGCTCCAGCGCTGTCCTCCAGACAGTCTCGTCCCTTCACCTGATGAAGACCAGTTGTGTTGTGGCCGAAACTTCGTGAGAATTTAATTGTGTTATTTAATTTTATTAATGTATTATTTTATTCTCATTCTACATGACTTTACCGAAAGAACCAAATAAGATATTCTTGGTTCTTTCGGTATAGTCACGTAGACGGGAAACAATAAAATAATAAAAATATATTGTTTCCCTTCTACGTGACTTTACCGAAAGAACCAAGAATATGAATCCCTGCAGTCACGAAAGCTTTAAATCAAAATTCTGTTAGTCGTTATGAAAAATATTCATAAATAATGTTATAAATATGTAAATTTAATGGAAAACGTGAATGTAAATTACAATACGATGCTTTAACAAAAACAGTTATCTGAAAGGTAATTTTTCAATGTGTTATGGAAGCAAGTGTGTGGAAGGAAATAAATTGATTTGTTAATCTATTGTAGAGACTCTCTCCCACCAAGGGAATGTGGAATTTACTTCCACCGACTCAGCTCTGCTGTTACATTGCTCATGAAAACAGGAAGGACACTCAGATGATTGTTTTTACTTTTGAGACAAATCTTCTGTGAAGTGGACCCTAAACATGACACATGGTTATTATCATTCACAAGAGTAACGTTTTATTTTGCCAGTGTTTCAGTCCCAATTACAAATTCAACAATTTACCAGAAAATAAAATTGAATAACATCTCTCTCGAGTCTTCACGTCGCGATAGTTTATCTTGCATAACGCGAAACGAGCCCCGCTGCTTTCCACCTGATTAAAACAAACATTAATTTAGCATAACAATCCTAATTGTTTTTACGACGGAGGAAAACAAATCTTTTACTTTGACATTTTTATGATTCTCATAACTGCTCGGATTTTTTTCTGCCTAACATCAATTGCAACAATTAAACAATTAAGGAAGGGACACAATTTCAGAATAATAAGGAAGGCAACGGAAAGGGGGGGGGGATTATTAAAACGGTGACATTTATGGGTAGGAAGCTGCGGATCTCTGGGTTGGCATAGCTAGGGAAGGCATAGCTAAATTTCGATTTAAAGCTTTCGTGACTGCAAGGATTCATCTTCTTTGGTTCTTTCGGTAAAGTCACGTAGAATGAGAATAAAATAATAAATTGATAAAATAAAATAACACAATAATATTCTCACGACGTTTTGGCCACAACACAAGCGGCCTTCATCAGGTGAAGGGACGAGACTGTCTCGTCCTTTCACCTGATGAAGGCCGCTTGTGTTGTTATTACTCAGGCACACGATTATCAGCAGCAACGAGACTGTCTTGTCCCTTCACCTGATGAAGGCCGCTTGTGTTGTGGCCGAGACGTCGTGAGAATATTATTGTGTTATTTTATTTTATCAATTTATTATTTTATTCTCATTCTACGTGACTTTACCGAAAGAACCAAAGAAGAAGGCATAGCTAGGGAAGGCGCAAGGAGGCGGGGGGGCAGCCACAATGCAGCATTGCTCATTCATTACTCAGGCACACGATTATCAGCAGCAACAACTTGCGGAAGATAAGATGAGTTCATGAGCGTAGGAGGGGCACTCCGAATGTAATCCCAGAGACAGTCTCGCTGCTGCACATTCATCATCCCGCACATATTTCAGTTTGGTTTGTTTAATCTGCGCTTTGTCAAAGATTGTGTTTAACAGAAGGGTCCACCAATAGCAATGAAATGTCAGGAGGTGTTAAGCTAAGGGACCCCGGTGCCTTGCTGTGATTGCCACTGCTTGCCGTGCCCCACCACACAGTCAATGCTGAGTGAACATAACTGCATTTATGATCGCTGTGCCCGATTACTGCTGTTTGTACGTGTGTGCGCATGACTGTTTAAGGGTGTATGCGTGTGTCCATTTGTGTGTGCGTTTGGATGCACATGCACGCATGTGTATTTAGTCGTGTGTATGTATGTGTAATGACGACTTGACACAGTTTTCTTGAGATGGCACTTTATTGAAGACACGTTCACTTGACATCATGCGGAGACCCCCACTGCAACAGCCCCGAGTCTCCCGCGCATCTCCCTAATATACCAACCGAGGCCATGCACCCCTTCTCGATCATTCTCGCTGACTCTGGACGCTTGCTCTACCGGCAGAATCTACCGTCCTCTTCCATCACCTGACCACGCTCCCTTCTCGAACATTCCTATAGCCACCAGTCCCTTTGCACTCGCAACTAATACCCCTGATACTCCGACTGATGCTTCTGTTAAATTTTGATTTAAAGCTTTCGTGACTGCAGTAATTCATATTCTTAGTTTTTTCGGTAAAGTCACGTTGAAGAGAAACAACAACATAAATTTATGCAAACCGACACACCTGATGATGACCGTTTGAGTTATGGTCGAAACGTCGTGAGAATTTTTTATTGTTTTATATATATATTTTGTTATTTTGTTGTTTCTCTTCAACGTGACTTTACCGAAAAAACTAAGAATATGATGCTTCTGTTGTTGTGGAGTAACTCATGCAGCCAGCTATGGCTCTAGGATTTGGTGTTACATGTTATTTATGTAGTTTATTGTTAAAATTCGGTCACAGTCCCTGTGACCACTGTTACGTTGCAATTATGTCTTTATTTTTTGGTGATTTCGAAAAGTTTTTTGGTTTGGACATGTTTGTTTTGTTGTAGTACGGAGTTAGACTGATGGCCTTAATCTAAATTTTATTGTGGTTGTTGTTGTTTGACTTGCATCCCACTGGGATTTTTTGCACACAGCATTGGTGTACGGTGCTTTTTTCAGGAATATTTTGCTGTTTTTTCATGGATTTTCTGTTTGCATAGTCACTTTAAGATGTTTTTCTTGTTCGTGTTTTTGGTTTTTTTGTTTGTTGTGGTTGCACCCGATTCAAGAGCCGAATGGCTCACAGGTCTATACAAAAATAAATTGAAAAAAACTGAATAAATAAACTGTCATTACCTCCAGTGGCCACTAGGGCATTCGTACTGTAGGCTGACCTCCCTGTCATTACCTCCCGTGGCCACTAGTCCACTCACACTGCATGCAGGCCCTATTGGCATTACATATGTTTGAATGTATTGGTTTTTGGATGTGTGTGTATGTTTGTATATCTGGGTTATTGGAGCAAGTTCTGTTAGCGAGTACCTATTAAGGCCGAGACGGTGCTCCAAGACTGCGTGTTGTGGGGAGCGCTAGTGTAGTGGTTAGCGCAACTGGGCTACGAACCTGGCATACCAAGTTTGATTCCCGCTCACGGCCAACACCAGTGACAATTATCTGAACCGGTCCTGGGTCTCCCCTCGGTCGACTCAGCCTCAAATGAGTACCTGATGCGGTGTGTAAACATCACCACTTGGGAGACAAAGGCGGCCGCGGCGTCACTGGTTTTGTAGTGTAGTGCTGCTTCTCTTGGGGAATTATATATGTGGGTGTAAGTATGTGTGTGTATCTATGTGTTTGGACATGTGTATATGTGTCACTGGATGTGTGTGTTTGGCCACCCACTTCCTCATGTGTGAACTTGTCTCCGTGTGTTTGTGTCTGCATGCGTGCAGCTGCTGTGTGTGTCAACTTGTCGCCGTGGGTTTGTGTCCGTGTACGAGTAGCTGCCATGTGTGTGGAATTGTCCCTATGTTGTTTGTGCGTGCGTGTGTGCGTGCATTTAGCTGCTGGCTGTGTTCGAGGAGCAAGAACCCCCTCGGGGTGGCGATGGCGCCAGTGGAAGCTCAGCCGGAACCCAGAGCCCTGAAGCCTTCAGCAGTGAGGCCCTCCCCAGTGGTGGTGGTGCCGGCATGGCCTGCAGGGTCTCCGAGCTTGGGGGGTCCTTGTTCCGGGGGTCCGAGCTCGCGGGGGTGTCACGTCGCGGCTCGGACAGCTACGGCTCGAGAGCGCCAGGGACGGCGGCCCCCCCCTCTTGCAGGGTGGCTGAGCGGGGCCCCAGCGATGGGGAGGCGGAGAGGGCTGGCGTGACCGGATTCTGCCTGTACCAGCTCGGCAGTGAGATTGAAGTGACACCCTCAGCTCTCCGCACGAGTGAGCAAGCCGTGGAGACCACCACCCCCTCACTGCCAAACCCCTCCCACACCAAATCTCTCTGAAAATATTCTTCACTTATTTACCAAGTTTACAATTGGTTAGACCAAGTGATTATCATCATCATCATCGTCCATGGTCAATTCACTGCTGTATGAAACTTCGCCAAGCCGCTGCCATCTCTCATGGTCATGTCGTGTACGAATCCACCGAGCACCTGCACACCAACTCGATTTCATCAAAATAGTTTGCAAAATCCTGAGGATAGAAGAAAACCAATTATATTTACTTCCAGGAAACATGCAACATATGCATGGGATAAGAAAAAGTATAAATGTTATAACAACTCTTGAACACTCTTTGGTTCTTTCGGTAAAGTCGCGTAGGTAGAAAAAATAATAATAGATCACGACGTTGCGATCGAAACGTCGTCATCTATTATTCTGCATGCTGGATTATGGCAAATAATGTAAATGAAATAAAAAGTATTCCATTGAGGGTAGAAATGAGACAGAACAGACATGCAAATAATACCGGCAAGATGTCAAAAAACTAGATTATTAAAAGGACGATGCATGAGTCGAACTGTGACCTCCGCATTGTGACAATCCCTCAAACTGTGTACCCACTCACTGGACAGAGACTTGCAAGTAATTTGTTTGTCAGGCATGCCCTTGCTTTTTCAGTGATATAAAAATATCTAAATGTTATTTTTTACTCGGCCGGTAGTGTATTGTATACGATTGTAGAGGTGTAAACTCACACAGAGACGAAATTCTCTGTAAGGGCTATTGCCAGTTTATTAACTACTGCACTCACGTACAGGATCACACCAGAGCTAGGTACTTCTACTACACTTGGTCCTTCTCGTGGACCGTCCCGGTACTCGCTTAACTCCTTGGGCTATCCTGATCTAAGCTCCCCACTAATCCCACTCTTTCCTCGGACGAAGGTCTCGGTGCCGAGCGGCGTGTCTTACGTTCCCTCGTGTCCTCCGTTCCCTCGGCTCCCCACAATGACCCCGCCCCTCACCCCGGGGTCCCCCCTAAGTACCTTGCCCCTCTGGATACATGACGTCAAGCTATGACGTCATCCCACTCTTTCCTGCCGATTGCCCTCACTTACTCCCACTACTCCTCCACACGATTACTAAAGCAGAAGTATTTCAAACACTCCGAAAATAATAGTAATAATTACAGCAGTTTTTAAAAAATGTTATTGAATCAGTCTCAGCACTTCTGATTTATCTTGTGTAATGGATGGGAACCAAGATGTTTACTTTCACCACGAGATGCCAGACAAACGCTAGCTTGACTTTTTATGTTCCATATTTATCCTATTAAATACCAGTTGTTTATGATGCTCGGTTGGCAGTGGTGCACAAGCACAACCAACATAAAAACTCAACACATTCATCAAGAACACTGCTTTAAAAATATATCATTATTATGAAGGGCCATTGGCCAAAACATCGCCTATTTTATATATTTAGGGCAGTGTTATTCACATCTATGTTGATTTGTTCTATTAAAAATTATCAGAGTACATCAGTTGAAGGTCACTACATACATTTGATAATCAAGTACAATACTGTTTTATTGCCAGAACTCTTAATATTGCATCCTGATGAAGGAGACAAACAACATCTTTGTAACTTTCAATCCACTGTCAATTTATTTATATTGTTTCTTTTCGCTATTTAAGAAAAAGGAAATAGTATTAACTGTGTATATCTGATTACTTTGGTGCTGCGTTCATATCTGTATGTGTCTGTACTTGCCCATGTGTGCAAGCCTGTGCGCATGCATGTCTACGTTTGCATGAAAAAGCATGCGCGCGTAGATTCACGCTGCATCCGTGCGCGCGTGTGTCTGTGCGTGCGTGTGTCTGTGCGTGCGTGTGTCTGTGCGCGCGTGTGTCTGTGCGCGCGTGTGTCTGTGCGCGCGTGTGTCTGTGCGTGCGTGCAGACACACCCCTGCATGTGCGGCGGAGCAGTGACCCGGCCCAGCTGGGACCATCCTCGGGGGTCTGCATGGGGGCCCTGAGCCACCTGCTCCCCCGGCACGGTTCCTCCCGCGATGGCTGCGGCGGCCCCCCCAAGGGTCGGGGACGCTGGGGAGCCAAGGCCGACACCCTGCCCCGGCCGCGCCATGGCAGCCCACAACAGGGCACCCTGCCCTCGGCCGCTACCATCCCCCGCGCCAAGGTTTGCCACACGTGCCAAGGCATGTCAGGGTATGCCAGGGTGCGCTGGAGCATGATGGGATTGGGCCAGCATCTGCACCTCCCGCCGCTTCCCCCCCCTCCCTAAGTTCATCAACCTACGATAACCGTAAGACTGCTTTGGGCACGTGCTCTTTGAGTTGTACGCCTTTTGGCGTCTTCTGGTCCAACACCAATGGAGACTAGGCTCTAAGAAAAGCTGTCTTGGGTGTGGACCAATTAAATTCAAGGTCACTGCATATTATCAGAGTTGTCTTTTTTGTTTGCATTTTGACTGCTTGTGTTGTGGTTATTGCAAACATGATGCCTTGAATAAAGGTGTCAGTTTTTGTGCCAGTTAAAAGGGTAAAACCTATTCCTATAACGTGCTCTTAAGTTATAATTATTAATGTAATTTACTCCCCCTTTGAAGGTTTCCTATGCCATGTCGGTTATGGGTGCTGTTTAACCAGACTCGCTGATTAACGTGCCCTAGACTGTGTGCCCCAAAACTGGTTCACCACATCACTCGCCGCTGATGCTAACCATGACTGTGAATCAAACACAGGATGCCAGGTTCATAGTGCAGTAAACAAACCGCTACACCAGCACCTCGTCATGCCAGCACAGCGTGCCATAATGTGGTGTGGCCAAAACCTTTGTCTCGCCAGAGCTGATGTTGATACACTTATCAGGTAGTAATTTAAGCCTGAGTCAACCTAGGAGTAGACCAAGGAACAAAATGAGATAATACTTGATCGTGAAGTTAACCACAGCCTGGTATTGAACTGAGGTGGCCTTGTCACCTGAGGCAGTTTGAAAACTCACGGTGCCACCATTCTCCACTGACAGCCCTTGCCCCAGCATTCGTAATGGCTTTACTTCTGTACAAATCCCACAAACACATTGCACCCCTGCACATATGCAATCAATTTACAAACATGCCCACACATGTCCATACATGCCTATGTATTTGCATGCACGTACACACATGCAAACCATGCATGCACACTCACATGCATGCACACACTCGCATTCTCACGCACCCACACACGCTCATATCTCCACACAAATATGCACGCAAACACATCACCGCACACACACTCACATGCCCACACACTCGTATGCACACATGCATTTACAGAGGCGCATGTGCAGACTAGAACTGCATTAAGATTCAGCACTCCACCTGCTTCAGTTAGGCACCATTATTACATTTCTTATTAAACTAATTCATGACGATAGTTATTGAATAATTTTGTTGTTTTTTTTAAAAGGGAGTTTCAAAGGAAACTATTATTATCATCACAATACTCTGTTTTGTTTAAATACATTTTTTCAAATACGAGGAGTGGCTGCAATTATTGCCAGCCTCCTCCTTTCTATCCCCTCACTCCCTCTCGTCCCCACTATCCCCTGTCCAACCCCGCCCCCCCCCCCCTCCCAAAAGGCGGAGGTGGCGAGGAGATTGGGGGGCGGGGACGGGTGTGGGCCGATGGCACGGCACGCCGGGGGAGGAGCGTTCCAGCGCGTAGCCGCTCGCTCATCCCTCAGTGCCGCTCACCCCATGGTCGACCGCTGGCTGGAGCGGCAGGATCAGGTTCGCCCATCCCTTTAACGCAGGGGGGGGTGGTGAAAACCGTCTCCTTACTTGGGACCGAATTAGACTTTCTTTAAAAAAAATATATTTTTTTTTTTACCAGGTAAGGCCCACTGAGCTTCAGAACTCATTTTCAGAAGCGACCTGGCCACAAATTAGAGCTCAACGAAATAGCTTAGTCACGTGGACATTTATAGCAGCCAAATACTCTTAAGCACATGTACATTTTAAATGTGGAGGGGAAAATTTGGAAGACCCAGAGAAAAATCCACTTGACCACGGGGAGAACGCGCAAACTCCAAATATTCAGGCGGCGGGATCGGTATTGAACCAATGGCATCCTGCATACAAGGCGAGGAGGTTAACATCTCACCACTTTTGGCAGGCCGCACACGAGCACACGCCTTGACGTTATCCATTATTAACGTGATGGATAACGTGCACGCCGACCGAGTGTAACTATGCCCTTGTATTAACGGAAGTAACTGAGCGTGGCATTACAATGAGAAATACGGTGTTGTCAGGTAGAATATTTTGCCCTCTTGTGCCCGATTAGTGGGGCTAAGATGCTTCTTGCAGTTACGGGATAGACATATTCATATTCTTGGTTCTTTCGGTAAAGTCACGTAGAAGGGAAACAATAATATTTGTATTATTTGCATGTTTCCCTTCTACGTGACTTTACCGAAAGAACCAAGAATATGAATCCTTGCAGTCACGAAAGCTTTAAATCGGGATAGACATAATTACATTTGTGGACCGTTGTGAAGCAATAGGCATCAGTTGTCTGCGGGCTGTATGAAAGGAAGTCGTGGGCTGGATATGGCCTGTGTGGGCCATGGGTTGCCCACTCAAATATCCCGGTGATGTGATAGTTCCCCGTTGTGGTTACTGGACATGTCACGATAAATGTAATTCGTCGATTAAAAATTACTTCGTATAAATGCATCGAATTGCGCCTGAGAATAATTTGTTTTTGATGTGTGTTTATTGTGATCCTCCAATCCAGTTTCCAAATTATATCTTACAATATTGCTGCGAATAGCACTGCCAAGAGCATGTCTGATTGTCTAACTCCCTTTATACCATGATTATATGGGATTTCTCATTGGCCCCTGTAAACTGGATTAATTGAAGTGTGCAGAGGGCAAACAGTTATATGCCTTGAGGGAATCGCATTTTTAAATAACTCACCAGCTGAAGTTTAAAAGTTTAGTTTTAGAATGCTCTTTCCCTTGAAAAACGACTCTCACCCGATTACCGAAAGAACCAAGAATATGACTCTTACCCGATCAAGTAAGCGACACTGATCTGAAATGCCCTGTCTTATGAACCCCATCCTGCTTTTGTCAACACTAGGATGATGGAGAATGTGAGGAGAGGAGCGATGATCGCATGGATCCAGTGGGGCACGCAGACTACTCGCAAAAGCACACGCACAACACCGGCACATGCAGGTGAGTGTGGCATCATGGCCACAACCCACGGGCACATGAGCCAAACAACAAAGATCCCCTGTATAAATTTCGATTTAAAGCTTTCGTGACTGTAGGGATTCATATTCTTGGTTCTTTCGGTAAAGTCACGTAGAAGGGAAATAGTAAAATAATAAAACAATAAAATTCTCACGACGTTTCGATTGCAACACAAGCAATCATCATCAAGTGTGAACATTTTCTTGCTGTGCTTTATGCATTGCACCAGGTACTCATTTGAGGTTGAGTCGCCATAGGGGAGTCCCAGGACCAGTTCAGATAATTGTCACTGGTCCTGGGCATGGGAATGAATCAAACTTCGGTCACCGGGTTCATAGCGAAGTGCTCTAACCGCGACACCAATATACACACACACAGGGGTGAATATTCTGTGTAAGTCATTCTGGCCACTGTGGGTTGTGTCATTATCACACGTACCTGTGTTTTTTTCCCCATCGCCCCTCGTTCCTTTCACCCTTCTTTTTGCATTTGGCCCATCACAGTGACATGGTTCATCTGGTGGAGATCCCCAACGACGGGGGTCCCCTGGGGATACACCTAGTGCCCTTCCTGTCATCCTCCAGCAGGTAACGGGGGTTGGTGGACAGCCATGGAGGCAAGAGGCTGCGGGGTGGTGTGGGGGATTCCTGGATCATTGTCCATGTGGGGCAGTGGTTTTGTTTTTGTCTTTTTTCAAAATTTTGTACAAATTATGCCATCAGCACCATTGTCTTATTAGACGATGCACTCGTAGCTCTTAGAGTAGTGCGTGATCCTCTACACTATGGGTCACAGCATATTCCATATGCTCTGCTACAGAGAAATATTCATCGTGTCACTGTTAAACTTAAGATTTTCCTTCATTCTCAGAGCTGAATCTTTAGCCAAATTAAGTGAAAAAACCCCCAACTTTAATATGATGAGTTTTTTTTTGTACAGTCATAAGAAACTAGGCTGAGACCATTAACTTACTACATTTGAGAACCAAATCTAACCATCGGCAGCTGCAACCCAGATATGAATCCAAAATCTCAGGAGTGCTGGCTCAGTATTCTGATCTCAGAGCCTCCTCAATTGATAATGAATGTAGTTCAGCAGCACCTATCTCCTCTGCTGAGAGGTATTACTCTGCCTATATCAGACCACCGCTGACATTAGTGATTAGTTGACTACTGCATCGGCCCTGGGTCAACTCAGCCATAAATGAGCACCTTGTGCGTTTTCATCTTCTTGGTTCTTTCGGTAAAGTCACGTAGGATGGAAATAAAATAATAAAAATAAAACATAATAAAATAAAATTCTCACGACGCACCTGGTGCTTTCTCCAAACATCAGCAATGGGAAGACATAGGCGGCAGGGGGTCATGCTGGTCACACCCCCATCCAGTTCTCCGTGCAGGCTTAAATATATTCTCACTAACCAGCACTGGCCCCATCAGTGTATGTAGGCTCAATGAGGATCTTTGTCTTTGTGTACACATGTGTACATCCATGTGGATCCATGTGTGTGTGCGCGTACGTGCGTGTGTGTTTTTGTGCATACATATCTGCTCCAGGAGCCTGGGGCTGTGCGTGCGTCACTTGGAGGAGGAGAGCCGCGCATGGCGTGATGGCCTCCTCTCCACGAACGATGCCATCATCGCTATCAACTCGCGCCAGCTGCTAGACATCGGCTTTGAGCTGTAAGTTACATGCACACATTCACGCACCCTCACTCCGAGAATTAATTAATCCACTCACCCCCACATTACCTACGTGTTCATCGCATCTCCACATAAGCCGTTTTTTCCCCCTCCAATCGTAATCACATGTTCACATTAGTCATGAAGCCATTTTAGTCATTCGTTACATCTCCATATCAGCAGTTGATTCATTCATCATCACATTTCCGCATCAGCCAAAGGTAGATTCATCCTTATAACTTTAGATCAGCCATTGACACAATCATTCAGTCAACACATCTTCATATCAGTCAATCAACTCATTAATTAATGTATTAATCCACCGCATTTCCACATCATCCACCCATTTATCCCTCTGCATATCTGGCTTAATAGTAGGCCAGTAACTATTCCTCCCCTCACTCGATTCAATGAGTGATCACGATTTCGGGTTTCATTTCGATGTTATGCCACCGCTTCCACCTGCAACCCTGCCAAAAGAAGTAGAACACATCGCCCGCCACCAAATTATTTTGAGTGATGAAGTGCAGAGATTCATTTCAAGATTATTTTAACATCGTGGTGAATGTAGCACCTCTAGTGGCCGTAGGAGTCACGTGCAGCAATTATATACATTATACAACTGCAATATAAACTGTTCTTGCACGTACAATTTTACGCAGTTGTCGTTGAGCGTAACAATCGCGTTGAATCAATAACTTGATGCATCATTACATGCCTAATAAACATCGTTCACTCCAAACAAAACCAGTCGAATTGTCCACGTCCACATACATCAATTTGCACGTCAATCCTCTCTGCACCCCCTTACCATGACCTCGCGCGTGACACTCTGCACCACCGTTGCATTGGCAGGGCGCAGCAGCTGTTCCGGCATGCCATGCAGTGCTCGGTCATCCGGCTGTGGGTCGTCCCAGCCGCTCAGCGTGAGGCCTACGAGCGTGACCTCTCCTCGCCGGCCTCCCCGGCCTCCCCGGCCTCTCCATCGTCCCGTGCCGCCTTCCTCCGGCCGCGGCCCTTTCCCTGGGGGGAAGTGTCTCCATGCGGCGCCGCTGGCGACGTTCGTGTGCTCGGCTGGGAGGCGCACGGCAGCTGGGACGCGCGCGGGGCCACGTGGGAGTCGCACGGCGAGTGGGACGCTCGCGCCGACTGGGGGCCGCCGCCGCCACCCCCCATTTCGGCGGCCACGGCAGTGGCATGCGCGGGGCTCAATGGTGGTGGTGGCGATGTTTGCGGCTCTTGGCATCGCCCGGACGATGGGGCCACCACCAGCGCCGTGGGGGCTTGCGCTCAGTGCGTCGTGTCCACGGCACTCGGTCCCAACGGGCTCCTCCAGGACTGCCTCCTCTACCGGCCCCATGTACCTGCAGTGGCGGCGGCATTGACAGATGCCGCGCAAGACGCTCGCTGGGCGTGCTGTGGCGGCGGCGGCGGCAGTGGCCCGCAGCCGGGCACGCCGGCCCGCACGCTGCCTCTTTGCCAGCAAGTGCACCGAGCGCCCTGCTCTCAGAGTCTCCCCACGTTCCCGTGCACGGTGGCGGCTATTGCCGCCCCCTTGGCCAACGTGCAGGCGGAGCGGGCGTCCTCGCCGGTCGTGCCGCGCAGGCACTCAGGCCGGCGGTTCAGAGTGCAGCTCCAGAAAGGTGACGTTTCCGTGGGGTTTGTTTACAGGCATCGGGGTTTGTTATTATTGTGAGAATTGAGTTAGGGTTCTTAGAACAGCTTGATGACCCATGTGACGAGGATTTCTCTGCCGAGGGGCATATGGGAAAGTGCTTCCCTGAGTGTGCAGATATGTGGAGAGTTTGAACTTGATTGCGTCAATAAGTGCAATTTGAAAAAAAAAACTGGAAAATGGACGAAAGCTATTGCATTGAAGAAATATAATTGGAAAAAGTAAATTTTTTTGTATTTAGTAACAAAGAATTACAATGAAGATACAATAATAATGAGGTTAATCATATCTCCCTATTCCACTCCGCTCAGGGCCAGAGGGACTGGGCTTCAGCCTGACGTCGCGGGACACGCCAGTCAGCGGGCTCGGCCATGTTTACATAAAGCACATCCTGCCACGGGGGGCGGCCATCGCCGACGGTCGCCTCCACGCGGGAGATCGCCTCATCATGGTGAGGGGGCGGCACTCGAAAAGGTTGAGGTCATTGGTCGTGCGTCAATGGTTGGAATCGGTGGGCATCCTGGTGAGGGGGCAGTAGTCAGAAGGTCGTGGTCACTGGTGATGGGTCAGAGGTCAGCCCGTGGCTATTGCGGTGATAATAATGAAGGTTGAGCAGTCAGGAACCTGTGGTCATTGGTCATGAGTCAAGGGTCAGAACCAGTGAGCAGTACTACTGTAGAAATATTTTTCTTTTGACCGTCGTATTAATTTTTAAATAGCCGTTTTTTACATCAAGTAATTTTTGTTCTGTTTATGTCACAGAAAGGTATTTTGTTGCTGCTGAAAATTTAAGGCATTGGTGAATAGAGGACATTTAAATTGGGAGAGGCAGGCATACATAATGGCGGAACTTGTGATTTATTGTGCAGTCTCTCAGCAAGAATGAACATTGTGTTTAGCAGATTTAGGACCTTTTTTTCTGTGGCGTGTGTGCTATATGGACAAACTGTTGCCCTGTTACTTCCCCCTGCTAGCCCGTGCATTACAACATTCTTAAATAATTCCCGTACAGTAATGAAATAATGCATTTAAATTTAATCATCCATGGCCAAAAAAGGTACATCTTGATAGTTTGATAATTATATAAGATATGCAGAGATGTAGTAATAATTTTGATTTAAAGCTTTCGTGACTGCAGGGATTCATATTCTTGGTTCTTTCGGTAAAGTCACGTAGAAGGGAAACAATAAAATATTAAAAATATAAAACAATAAAATTCTCACGACGTTTCGACTGCAACATAAGCAATCATCATTAGGTGTGAAAACCACAACACACCTGATGATGATTGTGAAAACCACAACACACCTGATGATGATTGCTTGTGTTGCAGTCGAAACGTCGTGAGAATTTTATTGTTTTATATTTTATTATTTTATTATTTCCCTTCTACGTGACTTTACCGAAAGAACCAAGAATATGTAGTAATAATGTCACAAGGCAGGAGAGGATAGGGGTGGTCACTGGAGCGCAGCAAGTTTTGGGAGAGAGATGGAGGAAGCAGGGGTGGGATGTGATGGATTTAAGGGTTGGAAAGAGGAGAGGCAGGAGAGCCAAAGTGAGAGAATTAAAAAGATCTTAATGGAAAAATGGGCAAAATGTCAAGCAATTTGTATGATTTATTAAAGCAAGAAAAAATAATTTCACATGTGAGGCGTACAGAGGCAAATAGGTTGATAATATATCTCTCATCTCTGTAGGCATACGTATGGAAGCATTAGATTACAAAGAGAGGGTTAAGTTTATATTAAAATAACCAAAATAAAAGATTAAACTTGTGCCTTTAATAATGCACACATTGCCGTTGAGAATCGAGGAACTTGACGGAGCATGCAATCGCTTGTTAGGAACAGGATCACTTTTACGCACTCTTTAGTTTCAAAGCACACGCTTATTTTTCTAATGTCGGAATGCTTTAGCTTGTGTCTGTCCCTCTGCGAACTGGCAAAATGGAACTGCAAATACAGATTGTTCTGGTTTTCCCGGCGCTTTGGCGATGAGGAAGGGGTGGCTATGGGTCATCTGGTTGTACTTGGACACGTGCAGAGCAGTCTTCTTTCATTATTATTTTTTTTACATTCTGAAATAACCCAAATGTGGCAGGTGTACAATGGGAAGAATGGCATGTGTGTGTGTGCGTGAGGAACGTTAGGAGCAGTAGTGCAGCGGTCAGCGTGCTGCGTTATGAACCTGGCAACCCGAGTTCGATTCCTCCTCACGGCCAAACCCAGTGATGATTATTTGAACCAGTCTTGGGCTTCCCCTAGGTCGCCACTGGGGAGACAAAGGCGGCTGGACACGGTGGTGGCCACCCACCCCCTCATGTGCCGTGCTGGCCTTCATAGGCACTTGCTAACAGCACTTGCCCCCTGGCAGCCTTTGTTGTGTGCTTGTATTGTGTCCGTATAAATGCGTTTGCAAGATCCGATCAGCGGACGCCTCGTTACCCATGCTGTGCTGACCCAGCACTTTTCAAAGTTTGCCTCATGGACATGTGGGACATGTGCTTGCGTGTGCACTTCCTCCATGCGTGCGTGCGCGCGCGCGCAGGTGAACGGGGTGGACGTGAGCAGCATGTCCCAGGATCAGGTGGTGAGCATCCTGCGTGGCGTTCACCCGGGCTCCTCCGTCGACCTGCTCGTGTCCCGCCACGATGCCCTGCTGACCCCGCCAGCGCAGGTGCCTCCACACGCTCCCTCAAACGCCCGTCGTCACGAGTTTGAGGCAGCGTGCGCAGGTGCCTCCACACGCTCCCTCAAACTCCCGTCGTCGCGAGTTTGAGGGAGCGTGTGCAGGTGCCTCCACACGCTTGCAGTCTGCTGGTGTTGTCGTCTCTGTTATCTGCATGCAGAGGTGTTTGCGCTCAGCTTTTGTAAAATAGGCTAACGCCTGTCTCCATTGTCTGGTTAGTGTATGATTAAAAGGTAAAGGTGCAGGCCTGCAGTTGTTTGCTTACTCCGCTGCTGATAGTAAGACCTCCACTTAAAGGCAGCTCTACAGAGCTCTTATCGAGGGTATTTTGGTCTACTCTTCCACTTACTGGAAGAGGTGGGAGTATTCCATACTTGTAGTGTGTGTCTGTGATGTGCAAAAACAATTCTAACCGTGTGTTTCATGGGTTTTTAAAATACATTTTCATCCAGAAAATGTTTGTCTTTCAATTACTTTAATTATTGTACTAATGTGTGGACATGTATCATCATTATCTTTTATTATTCATGCCACGCCACCTACGCAGTGTCCAATAGGCATATCATGATTCATATTACCTGACAAGTTGATGAATGTCGTGATTTCAGGTCTTGATTCAATTTGAAAATCAATTAGTTTTTCTCTCGTTTGTCTTTTTTCTTGTATTGTCCGTCTCATTTTTTCTAGCTCATTTGTTATTTCTCATTCCTTCAATTAGTCTGAACGTAGCATTTACATATTATTAGCATAAACCTAAAACAATATATTATCACGCATAAGAATAGGCGCATTAAAAATCGCACTCTCAAGATCAGAATCAGAATCAGAAAGGGTTTTATTCGCCATGTAAGTTCACACCGACACGGAATTTACTTTGGCAGGATGGTGCATACATTCAACATATAGGAATCTAAAATCTTAAATAAGTTTTAAACAAGTCTTACTATAATAAGGGTTAAAAGTCTAACACTAAGGGGCTGAAGTATATAAAATTAAATAAATATCGAATATAAAATAGCTTTAAGATATAATTTAAAAATACAAATAGGGAAACATAGTTAATATCAGCAACGTGTCGTTATGTAGATCAAATGTTAAAAACAGTGTTAGCCCTTGGCCTTGTTTAACAGGCCAGCAGCAGATGGGAAGAAACTGTTTTTATGGTGTGAGGTTTTGGTCCTGATGGACCGAAGCCTTCTGCCGGAGGGGAGTAGCTGAAACAGAGAGTGTCCAGGGTGGGAGAAATCGGCCATAATCTTCCTCGCTCGCCTCATAGACCTTGTCGTGTGCAGGTCCTCGAGGGTCGGTAGATTGCAGGCAATTACCTTCTCAGCAGTGTGGATGATACGCTGCAGTCTGCTCTTGTCCTTGGCAGTGGCAGCAGCGTACCAGACGGTTATGGAGGAGGTGAGGATGGATTCAATGATCGCTGTATAGAATTGCACCATCATTGTCTTTGGCAGGTTGAATTTCTTCAGCTGCCGTAGAAAGTACATCCTCTGTTGAGCTTTCTTGGTGAGGGAGCTGATGTTCAATTCCCACTTGAGGTCCCGGGAGAGAATAGTGCCCAGGAAGCGGAAGGACTCTACAATTTTTACTGGGGAGTCTAACAGGGTGATGGGGGTGAGTGGTGCTGTATTCTTCCTGAAGTCCACAACCATCTCAACTGTCTTTAGAGCATTTAGCTCTAAGTTGTTCTGGCTACACCAGGTCACCAGATTGTCAGCTTCCCACCTATAGTCAGACTCATCCCCACCAGAGATCAGCCCAATGAGGGTGGTGTCATCCGCAAACTTCAATAGTTTGACGGACAGATGATTGGAGGTGCAGCTGTTGGTATACAGGGAGAAGAGCAGAGGGGAAAGGACGCAGCCCTGAGGAGTTCCGGTGCTGATGGACCTGGAGCCAGAGACTTGTGTTCCCAGCTTAACGCACTGCTTCCTGTCAGACAGGAAGTCTGTGATCCATTTACAGGTGGTGTATGGCACGTTCAGCTGGAAGAGCTTGTCCTGAAGCAGGGCAGGGATGATGGTGTTGAAGGCAGAGCTGAAGTCCACAAACAGGATCCTGGCGTAGGATGCTGGGGCGTCCAGATGCTGTAGGGTGAAGTGGAGGGCCATGTTAACTGCATCGTCCCCAGACCTGTTGGCTCTGTAGGCAAACTGAAGGGGGTCCAGGAGAGGGTCTGTGATGGCTTTGAGGTGTGCCAGGACCAGGCGCTCAAAAGACTTCATTACCACAGATGTAAGGGCGACCGGTCTGTAATCATTTAGTCCTGTTGGCCTTAGCTTTTTGGGCACAGGGATGATGGTGGAGGACTTGAGACAGGCTGGTACATGGCATGTCTCCAGGGAGGTGTTAAAGATGTTGGTGAACACCGGAGACAGCTGGTCAGCGCAGTGCCTGAGGGTGGCTGGAGAGACAGAGTCCGGCCCGGCTGCTTTGCGTGGATTCTGCCTCTTGAAAAGTCTATTAACTTCTTCCTCCTGAAAGGAGATAGTCGTCTCTGTAGTATTGGTGGGGGATGGGGCCTCTTGGGTTGGAAGGGGTGGTTCAGGACAGTCCAATTGTCTTTCAAATCTACAGTAGAACTCGTTCAGGTCGTTGGCTAGGCGGGAGTCGTTAGTGGTGTGGGGGGCTCTGGGTTTGTAGTTGGTGATCTGCCTGAGCCCTCTCCAGACAGAAGCAGCGTCGTTTGTAGAGAACTGGTGTTTTAGTCTCTCTGAGTACAGTCGTTTAGCCTCTCTCACCGCTTTGCTAAACCTGTTCTTCGACTCCTTGAATCTGTCTCTATCTCCACTCCTAAACGCTTCCTCCTTCTCCAACCTCAACCTTCTGAGCTTTGCTGAGAACCAGGGCTTATTGTTGTTAAAGTTCACCCTGGTACGTGTTGGGATACAGCAGTCCTCACAGAAGCTGATGTAGGACATCACAGCCTCTGTGAGTTCATCCAGACTATTGGTAGCAGTCGTGAACATATCCCAGTCAGTACAGTCTAAGCACGCCCGCAAATCTTCCACAGCCTCACTGGTCCACTGTTTAGATGTCCTCACAGCAGGTTTACAGAGTTTTAGTTTCTGCCTGTATGCAGGAATCAGGTGGACCATGGCATGGTCAGAGTGTCCTAGTGCTGCTCGGGGGATGGCATGGTAGGCTCTACTGACTGTAGTGTAGCAGTGATCCAGAGTGTTCCCTTCTCTGGTTGGGCATTTAATGAATTGTATGTATTTGGGGAGTTCGTGGCTGAGATTACCTTTGTTAAAGTCGCCAAGTACGATAACCAACGAATCTGGATTTGCTCGCTCCACACTCAGAATCTGATCGGCGAGCATGCGTTGGGCTTCTTTAACCTGAGGACAAGGCGGCAAATAAACTCCGACCAAAATGAGCGACGCGAACTCGCGAGGCGAGTAAAACGGTTTACAGGTTATAAAAATTGATTCAAGGAGTGGAGAACAATGTTGCAGAATCACTGTGACATCTACACACCAGCCACTGTTAATGTAAAAACAAATACCACCGCCTTTCGTCTTGCCGGAGAGTGCTATGTCACGATCCGATCTTACAAGATGGAATCCTGCTAGTTGTAGCGAAGTGTCCGGAATCAAATCACACAGCCATGTTTCCGTGAAGCACAATGCAGAAGCTGAAAGAAAGTCTTTGTTTTTTACCATCAGTAGCTGAAGTTCATCCATTTTGTTGTACAGTGAACGTACGTTGGAGAGGAAAAAGCTCGGAAGCACTGTTCGGATCCCGCGTCTGCGTAGCCGTACTAGAGCCCCCGACCGTTTACCCCTTGGGCGGCGTTTCATTGCTTGAGCAAAGCCTAGCGCGGCATTGACTAGAATGCCTACTAATTCTGCCGCTGGAAGCAGAAAAGTAGGAATTAAATCCACAGGAGTTGTTTCCCTGATATTTAAAAGTTCGTCTCTTGTTAGAGAACTCCGAAAATCTTGGCAAAACACTGAATTGACAGACAAAACAAGACAAAACAGGGCGCACCGACCGGCTGAGGCTACCATCATCAGCGCCATCTTCGCACCAGCACGGGTGTGCTGAACAGCAGGACTCTCTCACCAGCACTGGTGTGTTGAACAGTAGGCCCCTCTCACCAGCATGGGAGTGGTGAACAGCAGGCCCCTCTCACCAACACGGGTGTGATGAACAGTAGGCCTCTCTCACCAGCATGGGAGTGAACAGCAGGCCCCTCTCACCAACACGGGTGTGATGAACAGTAGGCCTCTCTCACCAGCATGGGAGTGAACAGCAGGCCCCTCTCACCAACACGGGGGTGATGAACAGCACGCCCCTCACACCAGCACGGGTGTGATGAATAGTAGGCCTCTCTCACCAGCACGGGTGTGATGAACAGCAGGCCCCTCTCACCAGCACGGGTGTGTTGAACAGCAGGCCCCTCTCACCAGCACGGGTGTGTTGAACAGCAGGCCCCTCTCACCAGCACGGGTGTGTTGAACAGCAGGCCACTCTCACCAGCACGGGTGTGCTGAAAAGCAGGCCCCTCTCACCAGCACGGGTGTGATGAACAGCAGGCCCCTCTCACCAGCCCGAGTGTGCTGAACAGCAGGCCCCTCTCACCAGCACGGGTCTGTTGAACAGCAGGCCCCTCTCACCAGCACGGGTGTGCTGAACAGTAGGCCCCTCAACACGGGTGTGCTGAACAGCAGGCCTCTCTCACCAACACGGGTGTGCTGAACAGCAGGCCTCCATATACTCACCACTACTCCACTCCCTCCCACACACTCTGCTCCATCAATCATGAAAGGCCTCAGTCAACTTTTTTTGCAGCTATATTTGTAAGTCCTTTCCCCCAGCTATCCGTGATGTCGACCACCTGCCCCTGTTCAAGTCCAGGCATAGGACCTTCCTTTTATCCTCTGCCAAGGCCAAACTTCTTATCTCGAGCAACGAAACGTTTACACTGTTTCTGTTCAGCGTCCGAAGATGTGATTGACTTTACACGCTGTTTAAATATCAATCGTGTTGTATAGTATATGTTTGTCACCTGTGTCCCATGCCTTCCATTTCCTAACTCGATGTCTGGTCATAAGGCCTATTCGTACATACTGGTTCCTTTTGTTGACATTTGTGCAGAGGAAGATAGGCGAGGCATATCAATGACTCGTACGTTACTCAGGCCAAATCCTGGGCTGGAGCCAGATGGCACATGTTGCACTCTTGTTTTTACACTATTTAATTGTATTCCAGTAGTAAATCACATAACTTGAGCAGCTCCATTGTCTGTTCAATTATTAGGTAATAATTTCCTGCCAGATGTGCTGCTAACATGATCAACTTAAAAAAATCGGACTACCTGCATGTGAGTCCATTCACTTTCTAAGTTACTAACGTGTTTGTATCTTTGCCCGTTTGCCAGTCTTACGTGGCCACTTGCCAACTTAATAATGATTAATTTACCCCAAAATCCACACCTTGTCCAATAACTCATTTTCAGGAGGGTTCTGCATTGAGTTTTATTTTTTCAGACATTTTCAGACAATGCATTAGTGTTTATGCATGTGGAAGGATAACAGAGCACCCGGAGAAAACCCATTCATGCGAAGTGGCAACATTATCTCATACAGATGGGAGAGATGATATTAGTCAACACTTGCTGCTGTTCCGCCTTCTCCTTGTGAGCCAGGGTATGGCAATTCCCGGTTGCCCAAAGGGGAAGGGAGTTTCACAACATTTCGGTGATCCACCAACCCTCTCCTCCACAATGCTGGATCCCCACCGCCCAACTAAAACTGAATTAATTTATTATGCATTATTTCATTATAGTTCACAAAAATACGTCCCGATGGCTGTGCAAGTTTTAACTTGCAAATCTACTCCCTAAAAAGTAGCCACCTACCTAGCTAACTGACCTGCCCTTATAACTCTTGTGATCATTTAAATTGGCACAGCAGCTGGTTATTTCACTTGCTCGCTTAAGCTACGGTGTTTGCACATGATTGCCTCTTCATTTAAATTACTTTGGGACATGTGCACAAGTTCAGATTCTCTCTTGATTGACTTGACTTCTGCGCCAACCATTATGTGAACCTTCGCACCGATCGTGAAGACACTGTTATGTTTTGCCAAATATCTATGCTCTCCGAGTAGCACTTTAAGTATTCACATCTTGGATTTTTATTTATTTAAAACAGTTGCAAGCAACACAGGAGACTGCAAACCTGATATCCTGTAGACTCAAACTTAGGGCTCACGCCAGGCATAATATAAACAAATGACCAATCCAGTGGTCACTGTTGTACCTTTTTCAGTCTAAAAATCACCGTTTCGCGTTGGGTATTATTATGACTCTTAACATTTTTAAGCCAAGTCACTTTGTGTTTGATGAGTTTTTCATCATTTACAGAAAGCGTTCAAATTAATTAGTGTTACCATCTTGCCGATGTGCAGGAAGCGAGGTTAGTGAAGCAGATGCATCCAGACGTAATTTTAACTCTCATTACATGTTCTTTGTCAGGCGGGTGCCTGATGGGCTCGCCACTCTGTGCCTCTGAACGGTTATGATTCTGCTTTTTTTATCACTCACATCTCTGCTCACGGTGCGCACATAAAACCCAAGATACCTTGGAGATGAAATTGAAGAAATGTGGATGTCAGTCTGGTTGTCTTTCAGGATGACTGCTTGCGAGTTTGTATGTGTTTTTGAAGTGGCTGGTGATTGTCTCTTTATGTGAATATCTTGTGTGTCTACGTATGCCTGTAGTTGCCTCTGTGCGTGCAGGTGTGTGTATGGTGCTCATTTAATAGGGCTTGCCACAATAGTCTGTATGACCGCACCTCCGATTAGCACGGTTGGCTATGTACGGTACAAAATAAGTTGAGCATACATACATATGAGGGATCCTTGGTGCAATGGTTAACACACAGAACTTGCAATCTGGGATCGCCGGTTTGATTCGTTCTCCTGAAGTGGCAGCCAAAACAACGATGCAAGTTTCTTAAATCCTCCATAATAACCTTTGTCCACCCAGAAATATAAATGAGTATACCATAGTTGGACAGGTCATGTGTAGTGGGGTAAAGTGTGGATACTCCCAACATATTCCAAGACATCTGGCCAGCGTGGAACAATAGGTCAAATTATCGCTAGAGATACTCCCTGAGCTTCCTCTGCTTGAGGGCCTTCTGCTTGCAGTTGTGTGAGAAATATAGAATACCTCACCTGGTATACAGGAGGTCGTGGGTTCAATCTTGACCCTGACACCTGTATATTTGGAGTTTGCATGTTCTCCCTATGGTCGCGTGGATTTTCCTCCGAGTCCTCTGGATTTTCCTTTCAGATTTAGAAACATGTGTTCAGAGTATTTGGCTGCTATAAATTTACACATGTTAAGCCGCTTTGTCGAGCTATCCTTTGTGGGCCAGGTCGCTTCTGAAAAAGAGCTATATAGCTCAGTGGGTCTTACCTGGTAGAATAAAAATAGTTTTAGTTTCATCTTGTATCATAGGGGCTGCACTTTTCCCTCGATTATCATTGCATTGGCTCACAGAGCTTTATCTCTTCCTACAACCCTCCTGAGCCACACTGCGCCGCACCCGCGCCTCTTGCAGCAGCAGGCAGAGCGCTCGGGTGGGATGATCGTGACGGCGTCGGGTCCCTGCGAGTGCCTCAACCTGGAGATCGCGCTGAGTGAGTGTGGCCCCGCGGGCCTTGGGGTCAGCGTAAAGGGCAACCGCAGCCGCGACGGCGCCCACGACCTCGGCATCTACGTCAAGTCCATCATTGCCGGCGGGGCCGCCGCCAAGGTGAGGGTCAGAATCCGGTGTGGGTGGAGGTGAGTGAGCAGTTGCGTCGCTAGGTTAAGAGACTAATCGCATTGGGAAAGGCTGAAATCGTCGCTGAATATTTTCTGTATTCGTTGGTAGACTGGGATAGGCACGCGAGTATTAGCCACAGCCATAGCGAGGGCTCTACTGGATGTCGTGTGAGTGGTATAGAAATATATTCTCCAGGCCACCGACCCAGAGAAACCCGGCTGAATTAAAGCCCTGTGCATAGGTATAGATGCAGAATGCGGTGGCTGCTTTCTAATGCAATTGGATTATAACTGATGCTGATGCTGCTCCAATTCAATTACGAAGTTTACCATTCTTGAGTTTATCAATTACACTCACTTGTAACACCTCTGATAATATATGCGTCATACCATGCTTATAAGAATGAATCGTGATGTGCCTACAGTGATAGATTGTACATGTAGCACAAGTGCACTAAAATAATTGATGGTTAAATTAAATCATCATCCTGAATCGTTACAACTTCACGTATGGCATTTAATTGCAGCATGCCTTTATTGTTGTGCTAGGAAGGGGTTTGTGGGCTTGAGGAGCCAGTGATAGGTGGACGGTATTTATTGTGAACAAGGTGAGAGGTACGTCCCAGAAAAATACTTCGTCATCATAATCCGCTAAACATTCAGAGATGTGCACCAATTCATTGACTCATGCACATTGCAAGTAAGTCATATGGAAATAAACGAAACTGCGCAGGTGAGATGGAACAAATGAGAAATAATACTTCCAAGCTAATGCAAAAAAAAATCCCAATTCTGGAAGAAAAAAAAAATACTGTATTGTGACAATTCACGGAACGGCTGGCAGGGTAATGAGGTTGAGGTGCGGCGGGTGAGTTGGTGACTTGCCGCGCATCTCCATCACATATCCAGAATTAATTCGATCAAATCACGACCCCCGCGTCGCGACAATCCGTGGAATCGTCGTTTGTGAGGGGTGCAGGCGAGGGGAGCGCTTGGGCGCGAGTCGTTACACTTTCCCCACCGTGCTCGCGCTGCTGCTGCTGCTGCTGCACGCATCCTCGCAGGACGGGCGCCTGCGCATCGGCGATCAGCTGGTCGCCGTGAATAGGGAGCCGCTGCTCGGCCGTAGCAATGCCGCCGCCATGGAGACACTGCGGCGGTGCATGGCCACGGATGGGAGCGAGCGCGGCCGCATCCACCTTGCAGTGGCACGGAGGGCGAGCGACGGGGACGAGCAAGTGAGTGTGATGCGCTGCGAGCGAGTGAGCAGGAGCTGCACGGGGGGGGGGGGGGGGGAGCAGGTGAGGGGGGGGGGTTGCAGTGCGGTTGCCATCTGTCCTGGTTTTTCTCGGATTGTCCTCTTGTTGAGATAACTGTCCTGGGAAATCTGTAAGTCTCCCCAGGATTTTAAAAGTGCCAGGACTTGTCAGTGGCGTTATAATATGACAATCAAATGATCGGGTGGCAGCTATTAGCTCGCGTGCAAGTGCTAGGCGGATTGTTACTTCGCAAGAGCATAAGAGACGACGGTTATGGCTTGGGGGGGGCCTTCATCCAGCAGTGCATTGTTCTTGGCTGATGATATGCAAATGTAGGGTGGAGTGAGTGGAGGTGTAGTTGTTAGCGCGAGCTGCATAATGAACCCGGTGACCTTCATTACGAGCTACAGTTAACATCAATGGTGATTGACATCATAAACGGTCCCCAGCTTCCCCTTTACCAAACCACATTGACCAGTGTGGTGAAGGCCTTCGTTGAGAAGTGGATTGATAAAGGGCTGTGAATGAAAGGCAGATGTTATGTTAATGTTCCATTCAGGCTCCTCGAGTGAAAAGACCGTACCGATAAGATGGAATCTGTTTACAGAAGAACATATACAAATGCAATGGTAAAACGAGACAAAAATCACGTCCGTTAATCAATGAAATCGTGAAACCCGAATCGTGACGATCCATTCAGTCACTCAATGGGTTAAGGTGAATCATAGTGTGAATTGTACCAATGGGGTGAATCTTACTTTACCCGGTACTTACGTGGTGAGGAGGACGAGGGCACGGGCAACGTGAGGGTGAACGTATGAAACGATTATTTTTAAGGTACTTTTCGGCGCCACCCAAGCTGAACTTTTGCTTGCTGTGCCAAGAGACAAAAATGCTCTGCCAAACTCGTGACTAATGTCTATGCATTCGTTAAACAAATTTTTTAAAGCGGATCAAAAAGCCACTGCTTAAGATAATTGCCTTTCTTCATGGTTCTGCGATGTTGGCTGTATTTTTGGAATGTGCCTCCATTATAAAGATAAAAACGAGTACCGTTCACAGCGTCACACTTTTGCCGATAGCTTAGCTCATAGTTTAAGGGAGACATTTATCCCACCCCTCCACACTGGCCAGATGAGATGGTAGTGTTAAGGGTTCCCACATTTTACCCACCGTCATTAGCAATTTGGTGCAATTTTCTCAATTAATCTCTGGAAATAATAATGGGTAAAGACATTTATCAAAAACCTTGGCCGCCTTAATGGGAATTAAACCCAAAAATTCCTGTTCACATCGAGTGTAGAGTGTTTCCTACTTCTGTGGTGATTCCAATAATATAGTTATTAATTTCGTATCTTTGAATATGTGGAGACCTGTGGTATAAAGTGGGCAGACATGGGCTCTGGTGCAAGGAATAAAATGGAGCCCTCTGTCCAACTTTCTCCACTCTTCGTAGCCGAGGGCCTTCGGCCCCTCAGACCCATGTGCCCCGGTGCAAATGCACTGCCTGGACACGCGAAAGCTACGCCACTGATCTTGGCCAGAAACTTTTTACGTCTGACAAAGTATTTTTTTAGAGGCCAAAAAGGCCTTTTGGTAAGACGCAAATTGTGCTAATTGAATCAGCTTTGGTTCACTGATAAGTATGCACAAGTAGTGATGAAATATCTTTACAGTTGAGTTGAGATACCTGCATTTTTGTTGCATTTCTCAAGAGTGAATAATATGTTTAGAAAATGGATGGTCCTTTCTGCTGTAGTTGGGATGACATGTGTATAATACACACAGACGGCGGCACACTCAAAGGGTCTCCAAAGGGGACAGTTGCCCCCAACCCCCTGGCATTTTTAGATGGCCGTTCAACATCACATCATTTGTTTTGAAGTGTCAAGCAAGTAAATATGTGAATAAATAATGTGCAATTCATGCTGCATATTTAACACATTCGATACATTGAACATTATCTAATTAAAACTTTATTTGCATGCAATAAAGTTCGCTATGCGGTACTTTGTATCACGATGCAATGGAAACAATTTACCCCCACTCTGTTTTTTAATTAAGCACAGACACACAAGAACCCACGTGTGCCTGCACGCACACGAGATCATTCGCGCACGCCGCCATGCAAACGTGCACGGGAAATGCATTAAGCAAACACATTTCACTCGCAGGAGCTGTTCACCGTGGAGAGAGAGAGAGTAGCCGTTGCTTATTCTGGCATTGGCCCAGCAGCCGGGCATGTCGGAGTGTCTCGTTTAACCGAGAGTTGCGCGTGTGAAGAATGCAAAAGCCTTGTAGCCTGTCAGTCACGACAAACACCGTGGTGTGGCCAATCACTGCGATGCTCGCCAGCCAGCCGAGGCATCACGATCGCAAACCACTTCAGAGTGCTGGCGTGTCAGAAGACTTTTAGAAGACCGGGGCAAAAAGCAGCAGCAATGGCAGTTTTTCTTACCCCAGTGCACCTGGGCTGTTTACGAAGCTTATCAAAGGAATTATAATTATGTTTATATCATTGTTGCTGATTGCTGCCCCCTGTCAAGCAGCCCCTCCTCCTGAGATCTTGGTGAACGTGTATGGTATTTATAAATCTAGATTTGAAGTTTTCGTGACTGCAGGAATCCATACTCTGTTTTTTTCGGTAAGTCACGTAGGAAGAAATAAAACAAAATAAATCACGACGTTTCGATAGCAACACAAGCCATCGTCTTCAGGTGAAAATCGCGACAGCCGCTGTGTCTGCTGCTGTGAGCAGCACGATGTCTGCTGCCTTGTGAAGGGAAACTGTTACCAACAAGAGTTTATATAAGTTTTTGAGACCAAAGGTAGCCGAAGTAGTGCTAATGGGGTATTATAGTGTAAAGGTAATAAATAGCGTGGCATGTTAAAGAAAATGAAGTTAGATTAGCACGTTGGATTATAGTGCAAAGTTAATGAGCTTCCGTAGCGCATAAGAGCTCAGATTAGCATGTAGGATTAGCATATGTATTTTGATGAGAGAAGCGTGTAAAAGTTAATGAAAAAATTTGCAAGTTAATGTCAGTTTATGTGTAACAAAGCGTTTCATGTTAAAGTTCATGAGAAAAGCATGTAAAAATACATGAGTACAGGAGCTGGCTGCCATGAAATTTGCTGCTGCTGCGCTGCGAGAGGAAGACTATTCAGACCAGGTTGCGGAAGCTGGTCGCTGCGCTGGTTAATCACATCCTTCCAGTGGTTGCTCAGCTTAAACCCATCTTCTCGGTTGAAGTTGTCTCTATGTTTGTATATCTGGATAGCTTCATGTACAAATCTATCCTATCTGAAGCCTGATTCCCACCACCACCACCCGGCCCAGAAGAATTCCCTCATCAAAACACTACACCATAGGGCCCGCTGCATCTCTGACCAGCGCCACCTAGCCAGTGAACTGGAGCACGTACACCGAGCCCTCAAGATGAATGGATACTCGGACCGCACAATTCGCAAAGCTGTATCCCCAACCATGGAGGATCCAATCAAAACCATCACCTTACCGTACATAGCAGGTGTCACCAAAAAGATTGCCAAAATACTAAACAAACACATGATCCAGGTCCGATTCAATACGGTACACAAAATCCGTGATCTGATCCCATCTGTGAAGGATGTCATTCCTGACATGCAATACCCTGGGGTCTACAAACTCATTTGTACCTGCGGTGGCAGTTACATTGGGGAAACAAAGCGACATGTCTCGGACCGGGTACGCGAACACAAGGCAGATCTGAAACACGGCAGAACCAATACCTCTGCCATAGCTGACCATTGTTATAATGCTGTGGGCTTACACGCTATTGTTTTTTCTGAGACCAAGGTACTCTGCAAACCTTCGCGTTACCTTCAAAGATTACACATAAACTGACATTAACTTGCTGTTTTTTAAATTAACTTTTACATGCTTCTCTCATCAAAATACATATGCTAATCCTACATGCTAATCTGAGCTCGTATGCACTACGGAAGCTCATTAACTTTGCACTATAATCCAACATGCTAATCTAAGTTCATTTCCTTTAACATGCCACGCTATTTATTACCTTGACACTATAATACCCCATTAGCACTACTTCGGCTACCTTTGTTCTCAAAAACTTATATAAACTCTTGTTGGTAACAGTTTCCCTTCACAAGGCAGCAGACATCGTGCTGCTCACAGCAGACATCGCGGCTGTCGCGATTATCACCTGAAGACGATGGCTTGTGTTGCTATCGAAACTTCTTGATTTATTTTGCTTTATCTCTACCTACGTGACTTACCGAAAGAACCAAAGAGTAGTATTTATAAAGGCAGTTACCATCATCCAGTCCCCAGCCAGCACTTGCAGAACTGTCATGTATCAAGCTACTGCTGCTGCTGCTGCTTCAGTGAATGTATACAGGAAAGGAACATTTTTATTTTTCGACTGACTATCCTTCAGGAAATAATGTTGTCTGTCGCCCGTTAGGTTACATGCGGCACTCCTGCTGCGTTTGGTATCGGGGGAAAAACAAAGCCAGGGTTGCGAATTCCGGCTTTATACGGCCAGGGGCTCTGAATAACAGAGGGTCCCGGAGTGGGGGCGTCCCTGATGATATAGGTTAGTTTGTTATTGTTGTTGGTGTTCCGAGGACCAGAGGCTGAGAATTCTTGGCAGCGCTGGGACAAAGGGACCTAGCTGCCGCTGATGCTGATGGAAAGCGGCTGTTGGCGTTGGGGGCTGTAGCCTGGCAGTTATTTGAATAGTTGAATCTTAATAAAAAATTGTGCTTAGAGCAGTGCACGCCTCTTTTGGATGGTCAGTATTCACGAGGGCCTACGAGATGGCCATGAGATGGCAGTACAGAAATAGATTATTGAATGAATGCTTGCAGAGCTGTTGAGCGCAAATCCGTGTATGACACTGGGTTATCTGGGTACTCAGGTTTCTTCCCACATGTAGCCAAACACTCATTGGTGTAATTAGCCAAATATCCCA